TGCCCCTACTCCAGGTTGCACCCCGCCCCAGGCCTTCACCAACCTATTGTCTATGTCCATGGGCAATACATATATGCATATAAATTCTTTGGTTAATCTCTTCCAGCCCAGGACATGGATATCTTGAGAGGACATTATTCAGACTAGACTACACTACTGATATACTCTTTTCAACATCAAGTATTCCCATTTTTCCTTTATTTTGATAGATTGGAACATTAAAATGTCAATGACAAGTTAATTTTCATTTTATTATCTTGCCATTTAAATGTTCTATTTTATGGCTTGTCTGCTCACCCACATGTCTACTGACATATCAATATTATGCTTACAAATTTAAAATGCTTTTTATATAGTGAGAACATCAACCTTTAATTTGTGGTGTGTATTGTAAGATTTTTCTCCCAGTTGATTAGTTGGTATTTTAATGTTTGTGTGTTTTCAGCAGCTATTTTTTTCTTTCATATCTCTTTTGCAATTTATTTTTTTAATGTACATAGAGTAAGATTTGCTCTGTTGCTGGTACAGGTCTATGAGTTTCCACAAATGTAGAGTTAATAAAGTTGGCCTGTCTCTTGATTTTGGTGATGTTTACACTTTTCTGCAATGATTTTGATGTTTGTTTAATTATGGTGAGATGGGAACAGGATGGACTACAGACAGAAACTTTAAATGTTATACAATAAAATTCGTAACTTTTATGATTTCTTCCAACTCTTTTAACCTTATTAAGTATTCCCAATCTGGAGGTAATTTCATGCTTTTATAGTATTTTTAATATTATATTTGATTCTTTAATCCATTAAAATTTATTTTGGTGTACAGTAAGATGAGACTCTAAATTGATTTTTTTGTTCAAGTTGCTAAACTATTATTCCAGAATCATTTAATGAATAATCCATTTCTTCCCTACTGTTCTGAGTCCACCCAAGGGAGACATTTAAAGGTACAATTTCAGGAGGCTAAATAAACTCTTACAGTTTGTTTTGTTTTTTAAAAAACCTGTATTTTCTTGCCCTAAAGTAAAAAAGAAATCTTTGCTGAGTTAAAGTATTTTTACTATTAATTTTAACACATCCTGGATTTTCATGCCAAGAATAAATTAGAAGTCATTTTTTCCCAGCACTAGAGTAAAGCTAAGTAAAAAGCGACAAGTTTAGTAGCCAACCAACTGTTGGTTATTCATGGAATCTCAACCTCTGTGCAAAATTTTTAAATTGGTGATGGATGGTGTGTGTGTATGCATGTGTGTGTGTCTGTGTGTGTGTGTGCATGTGTGTGTTTTGCTTAAGCCCTTGTTCCTCAAAATGTGATCCTCTAGCTACCAGCATCAGCCTCAAGTGGGAGCTTTTAGAAAGTTGGGTCTAGGCCCCACCCAAATTTACTGAGTGGGGATGTGCATGTTAACAAGATGCACATTAAAGCCTGAGAAGCACTGGCTTCAGCCTGGCCTTACCGCTGGACTTGGCTAGAGCGCCCATTTTGATAAACCCTGTCTGCACAGCAGTCCTTTAATCATAACAAAGGAACGAACAGAGACCCATCCAAGTAACTCCATCCAAGGGGACTGGGAGGCATTGAGGCAACTCCAGGGATGAGTTGTTTGGTGCTCTGGTCCCTGGCCATCACTTTTGTTCTCCACCATTAATGCGACTCGCCGCCCTACCCCCCACCCCTCTCTAGTCTGGTCTCTACTTCTTTTTGTCTTCTTATTTCCCTTTATATATACTGGCTTGTTCTTTCCATAACTTTCTGATAACATTCCATAAAGAGATTGTCTGATTGCCCTAATTATTCACCTCACTCTATTAAGAAGAACTTCATGCACAGGCTTCCTCATGGTCAGCCTGTGCACTGTCTACTGCTGGGCCCACCACCAGTGGTCACCTCCCTTATCAGCAAGGGTGATACAGTCCACCTAGAAGGGCCCATGGGTGTGAAAGGGCCAAGTATTATCACACATGCTCTTCTTATACTTAAAAAGACAGCACTGTGGTCCACCATAGCATGAGGTCTGAGTTCTTTCCCCAGGGATGGAACTAAATTTGTTGAAAATTCTCCTAAAAGCACTTCTGTGTGTGATTGGTAGAGACTTGACTGTATGTATAAATAAGGGGTCATTGAGTACTCAGGAAATAGAGAATGTACTATCCCACCCATAAATCAGAATCACAGTCTTGTCCACAACTGTCAATCATTTGCACATTATTCCAACCAGATATAAACTTTTCACCTACTTTCTTTCCCTTAGTATTTTTCTCTTGGCCTTATGTGTTTGATTCTGAGAGGCAGTCCCTGGGTTGTCCTGTCTTTTTTTTTTTAAAGATTTTTATTGATTTCAAAGAGGAAGAGAGAGGGAGAAAGAGATAGAAACATCAATGATGAGAGAGAATCATTGATCAGCTGCCTCCTGCATGCCCCTACTGGGTATCAAGCCCACAACCTGGGCATGTGCCCTGACCAGGAATCAAACCGTGACCTCCTGGTTCATAGGTCAATGCTCAACCACTGAGTCACACCAACTGGGCTGAGCTGTCCTGTCTTTACCCCAAATGTAGGTTAATGTCTCAGACACAACAAGCTAGTTCCAAATCAAGGACACAAGAGTGAGCTTTCCAGATGGCTGGGGAGGGCAGAAGCTGCCCCCACAATCCAACTTCCAAGGGCTCATCTCAAGCCTGACCTCTGTTCTTTCCAAGCCAGCATTCAGGAATCATTTTGACCAAATAGGACACAATGATTAGTGACCATTTACTGAGCATCTGCCAAGCTGAGGAAGAGAGGAAAGAGAACCAGTCCATATCCTTGGAAAAATAATCATCTGCTAAGAAGATAAAACCAACCCACAGTAAAGAGAAAAGCAATTATAGGCAATCATGGGCTTTTACTTGAGGGTAGTAGAGAGGAGAAACCACACAGTCTAGTCAGTGTTTATCTTAACATTACAATGCTCACAAATAAAGTTCCAAGCTCCAATCCACCAGCTAGTGCATTTGTTTTGCACATTCATCCACTCATTCATTCAGCAAACATATGTTGAACACTCAGTGTCATTTAATCCTCATGATAATGAGAGTCTGATACTATTATTCCATCTTACAGATGAGGAAACTGAAACCTGAAGAGGCAAAATGAGTTGCCCAAGGCCACATGGCTGGCAAGTGATAGGGCTGGGATTCAGACTCAGGGTTTCTGGCTGATTCTCAAGCCCCCACCCTCAACCATTATGCCATTGACTCCTTACCCAGGGCTGGGACTCAAACTAGCAAGAAAGGAGGGCACTGCTGGAAGAGAGTGGGGTAAGAAAGCTTGCTGTTGGAAAAAGAGAAGATATTTTCTCCAGACAGGAGTAAGATCTAAATGAGAGACTTTATTGCCTCCTGTATATGAACCTAGGAGGTGAAGTACATTGGGACACTTGTGGAGGTCTTGAAGGCTAAGCAAAATTGGGGAAGGGGCACATAAGCTCTTTCAGGCCTCCCTGCGGGAGGGGGAGAGGGGAAGAGGGGGAAAGGAGGTCCAGCCTGCACAGGTGGCAAGGGTGAGGGAAGGGGGCTTCCCCGTATTTATGCAGAGTCCAGCCCCTGGGTTTCCCTATAACATACCTCAGACCAAGTATAAGTAGGGTAAGTGACGATGAGAACAAGACAGAAACAGAAGAGCCAGAGTGCAATGGACAGACGCAGAATACTCATCTTCCCCAGCATTACAAAGGCACATCAGCCCCTTGTCCATACACAGAAAAAGAGGGGGGAGAGCTGAAAGGAGAAGCAATTTTATCCAGAGGATCCCAGGCATTAGTTAAAGGGGACTGGTTAAAATATTGCATTATGATATGGGGCGGGGGATCGGGTCTCTTCCACCGTTACTGAGTAAAGGGAGTTTATATAAGAAAACAGCAAAGTGATTACAAACAAACCACGTTTTCTCTGATAAACAAGTATTTGGTAAATCTGCCACACACACACAGGTGCACTCACATCATGGAGTCACATTTAATTCACAGGTTGGGCTCTAAAGTAAGGTGAAATCACATTCTGTTTTTGTTTGGCTTTTTAAGATTCTTAAAAATCCCTTCAGCCCTGACCGGTTTGGCTCAGTGGATAGAGCGTCGGCCTACGGACTGAAGGGTCCCGGGTTCGATTCCAGTCAAGGGCATGTACTTTGGTTGCGGACACATCCCTAGTAGTGGGTGTGCAGGGGGCAGCTGATCGATGTTTCTCTCTCATTGATGTTTCTAACTCTCTATCCCTCTCCCTTCCTCTCTGTAAAAAATCAATAAAATATATATTTTTTAAAAATCCCTTCAAAAGTCACCACACTGGAGACCAGCGTAGTCAAACTCTGGAATAGAAAGCTAATTCTAAAATTGAGCACCAGAATGAAAATGCACATCTTTAAACCCTGCACTCACCCTCGAGCCGCTGGATCCCAGGAGGCACATGAGGTTCTGAAAGCAGAGCAACTGCTTCATTTTGACAGTGAATACTGCTGTGGAAGAAGAAGGAACTGATATCTCGGTCCTGGGCTTGATGTCCTCCTACAAGATGAGCCCAGAGCTCCTGGAACTTACACAGCCGCCCACAGGCTGAGAAGAAAGCACCCATTTAAGGAAATTTCTAAAGTTTCTGTTCAAAGTGTCAGAAGAGTAACTTTGGATTAATACTTCATCCCATTGATACCCTCACACCTGGCAGTCATTAGTTAAGAGCAGTCCCCAGGCTACAATTTCCAAGTTACTCCCTATACATAAAGTGGGTTTGTGCACAAAGGAGCCTGGGAAATGTAGCTCCCTACAACCCAGAGCAGATCAGGGAGAAGGGCATGAAATGGGTCTGTGGGCAAACCAATGAAAGGCATGCCTGGTGACTTAGGAGACTCAGTTTTAGAGTCATAAGGCTTAAGTTCTGGTTCCCAATGTCTATGTCATGTTTTAAAAAGATAACTCAGAGTTATCCAACGAGTTCTCAGAACTTTCTAAAATTAGAACCTGATTGCATATGAGTACGAGGTTCCAAGGTGGATGCCGCCCTCTGCAACAGGACAGCTGGCTCAGCCAGGTGGTGTGCTCCCGGGAACTTCCAGCCCTGGATTTTCAGTTCTCTGAAGTCCCCAAGGCCTGGCTTCTTGCCACTGAAAAGGAGATAAGGACAAGATGTTTCATATAAAGATACAGTTAGGGGACATGGCTGATTATGAAGAAAAACCAACACTGCCTCTATGTTGGCAGAAAAATGGGTCTTAGAAAAGCTTTTCTAAAACTTGTTAAAACCAAAGCAATGTCTGAGTTTCCTCTGAGTTTTTTTGAAACATTAATCTCCAAAGCATCCTGATGTCTCCACACTGACAGCATCCTGGAGGAAGAAGAGCTGGGGTGGGAGGTGGGGAACCAGAGGAGCCTGGGCAAACCCAGGACTGGTTGGAGTCCCTACAGCGATCGGGGATGAGAGGCCTTGCTCACCTGCCATGCTGCTGCTCCTGGGAGGCCATGTCTGCCAGGAATCACATCATGGGATTAGGTCCCACCTTTCAAAGGTTAGCTGTAGAGAGTGGCAGCAGGGCACAGGTGAGAGGCAGGGACTCCAGTATGTCCACAGGATCTCTGATCGTTCCTTCTGCAGGGTCCCCCAACTGATGCCTTCAAGCAAACTGAGACCCCTTTTGTCCACGTCTAACCCTTGCTCAACCCAAGGTTTTGGCCCACCTTCAGACCACATCCTCAGCCCTCAGAGGTCCCAAAGCTGCCAATCCTTTTGCTACACATCCTCACCCAAACCTGCTCATTGAGAGCTGGCCCAGACTCTAAGCAGGTCTTCCCTCCTCCCCCCATTAAAACACAGAGGCCCAGGGCATCATGAGCTGTAAACTCTGTACACTGAAATGCTTGGGAGTCACAATGTCTTTATATCTTCCTCTCTCCATCCTTGCCTGGAAATGCAAGACCAAAGCCAAGGAAATGATGTGTTAATTGCGAGAGTTCGAGCATGTGACAGACCAATAGGAGAGATAGTTTGGGGTGAGGAAGCCCTTCTGTAGTTATCAGTCACCAGAGCTGGTGGTTCTAGAACTGGAAGAGTGTAGGAAGTACAGCTCCCTTTTTAATCTTCCACAAGCTCTCCGGACACAGAGCAGATGCTCCCCTGGGACCCAGGCCCATCAAGCTGTGGATATTGAATCAGTGGACTTTGCAGTAGGGGAGGCAGAATGGGGACCAGATGTCGGACATCTGTGCCAACTGATTAACTAGTAATTAGTGTGAAAATTCCCTTTCCTCCATTCTTTGAGACTTTTTATTCATATTAAAGTCAAGTCAAGACCAATTGCAAGAATATTTCTTTATGATCCCAGAGCAGGCTCGTCCTTCTAAGTGAATAGCCAAAAAAAATCATTACATCCATGTTCTGCTTGCAAGCCAAAGGAATGTCTGGGTTCTCAATGCTTCTTCATTCAAGAAGAAAAAAGGCACAGATAAGCTATACCTTGAATCATAAGCTATGAATGTGAGAGGACACCTGAAGTCAGGACATGAGTCTGCCTCCCTGGACAAATTTGAAATGACTGATATTACTATCCAATCTATTACCCCAGAAGTACCAAGCTGGAGCACCTTCCTCAACCCAACCACCTCCAGCCGGATGGACTCTCCCTGTGTATCATTATCACCTTGGTGAGTTTCATCATCTTCTTCCCCTTCCTAATGAGTAACATCATTACCAATGACATCAGTCATCTCCCCCATTTGAACCAACATGGAAGTTCAGTTCAGTATTCCCTCCCCTCCTGTGGGCAACTTCTCTGGTCTATCTTTTTATTTTAATTATATATATAATTGACTTCAGAGAGGAAGGGAGAAGAAGAGAGAGATAGAAACATGAATGATGAGAGAAAATCATTGATCAGCTGCCTCCTGCATGCCCCACACTGGGGATCGAATTCGCAACCCGGGCATATGCTCTGACCAGGAATTGAACCATGACCTGGTTCATAGGTCTATGCTCAACCACTGAGCCTTGCCAGATGGGCCCTGCCTATCTTTTCAGGCACAACTGGTTGCTCCCTCCTCAGTGCCCCAGAATGACATACCCCTGCGGATTTATCTGTGGCTCTGTCTTCCCAATAGACTGTGAGCTTCTCAAGCACTGAACTGATTTTCAATCTTTGCCTCCCTAGCACCCAGCAAGTGCATAGAAGATAGCAGGTATTTCAACAACATGGAGCTTATTTCTGCCTTCAACTTCCACTTGCCCTGTCTACGCAGCTCTAAGTGAACACACTCCTTTCTCCCAACACCTCCACCTACCCCACTGCATCTGCGTTCCTCAGACAAATGACAATGCTTATGTCGTCTCTTCTGTACCTTCCCACCCCCAGCAAGTGGTCAATTCAACGTATGGTCTGTCTGGTTATTAGAAAAGAAAGAGCAGCTATAGGAGGTATTCGAGAATAAACACCAACAAGGCTTGATGGCAGACTGGATATAGATAATGGAGATGAGGGGAAAGCTAGGTGACCACAAGGCGGCTGCTGACACTGACAGGACAGTCAAAGGAGACCTGAGGACAAGATAGGGGAGGGGGGAGTCCAGTTGAGGACGAGTTGACCTTAGGAGGTCAGAGGTGTTCAGGGGCAGATTTCCAACACACAAGTGGAAATATAAGACATGAACCCAAGGGAAGTCGTTTTCCCAGGGCTGGGCATGTAGAATTTGGAGTCACCCACACTGAGATGAAAATTGAGAGCAATATTATCCATTTGAGTTTCAAAGACAAGGGAGTGGGCCAAGGAGAGCAACAGGTCCAAAACTGGACTTTGGAAGCACCATCGTATATTGGGGACAGGGCAGGGGTTGAGGACCCCAGGGATAAGCCCGCATAACTGTGCCATATGAGAGCCTGAAGCAAAAGGAAAAATCGGTAATACTGATCCTGTCTTTATTTTTAAATTTTATATTTTATTCATCATTTTTTAAATATTTCATTCGAATGTTACTTATCTTGAGAGGCAGGATAGCATATAACAGTCCGGATACGTCCTTCAAAGGAGACCTGAGGCAGCTGAGCCCTGTGGACAGAGCCTAAGCGCCCTGTCCCACTAGCCTGGATTCTAATCCTGTCTCCGGCTTCTCTTAGGCGCATGATCTCAGGCTAGAGATCATGACACCCCTAAACTTGGTGTCATCATCTGAAAAATAACTCCTTCCTGGCACAGTCATCCCAGTGCCTGCCCTACACAGGTGATTCCTAAAGATTTATCCCCACCTCAGAGCACTTCCGGTGGTGGGTGGTGAGGAGGCAACCGAAGAAGCTGGACAAAGAGGGGATGACGGTGGGAGTGAGGAGTCCCAGGAGGGGAGAGAGGAGGTGCGGCCAGGAAACCAGCCTCCATCTTCTCCACATAGGACAGATGGACAAAGCCAGACAGAATTGGGACATTCCATCCACTGTCCATATTTTACATATTGCATTACACTCTATTTTTTAATATCTGTGACTTCCTTCCGTTGTGGGGCAGAGGGGGTGGGTGGAGAATCAACACTTCCCCTCCCACAAAGCCAGGTGCTCAGAGAGGCTGGAGCCTGGCCGCTATCTGACCCAGTCCACTCTCCCACCCCTGTCCTCAGGAAGCAGCAGAAGCTGGATCATGGTCCCTTTGATCAGCGACCTTGTGGTGACAACCCACAGCCGGTCTAGCATGGCTCCCAGAGGACTGCGGTGAGGCCCGTTGGGGGAGGGGAGCTCTGCCATCATTTCCTTCCCAACTGGCTCTTTTCAGAAGCCCGGAGCTCCCCAGCAGTTTTTCCCTGGTGGAAAATGTCCATGTTTGGTGTCTGCCCAAAGGAGAATCTCTATGGAAAGTTTGAGAAAGATTCCCTCTGGCTGGGGATGTGAAAAAAGCCTGTGCCTTTCCCATTTGGAAAAAAAGGAAAGAACATACTTGAGACAGGGTTATTTTTGTCTCAAGATTCAGAAGGCGCTGACTTGAACAGTGCTCACTCGGCCTGCATTCCCATCGCTGGTGGAACCGGCCACACAGAGGTGAGGCCGACCCCAAAATGCTCATGTCTCTTCTCAAGAACTTGTCTTTTTTTCTTTTTGTAGATATAGCCTATATATAATAAAGTGGACAAATCGTAATAATCTTATGTATGCAGCTTGATGGATTTTTACGAAGGTATATAACCATATAACTACCACCCAGATCAAGATATAAAGCATGTCCAGTACACCAGAAGGCTCCCTCATGCCCTTCCCAGTCAATACTCAGCCCCAGAAGCTAACCAATTAGTTTTGCCTGTTCTTAAATTCCATATAAATGGAATTATACAGTGTGTATGCTTGACATCTTGTTTCATTCGCTCAACATAATATCTGTGAGATTCATTCAGGTAGCCACATGTTGTATTAGTTTGCTAGGACTGCCATAGCAAAATTCCGCAGGCTGGGTAGCTTAAATGACAGAAATTTGTTTTCTCACAGTTCCAGAGGCTGGAAGTCTAGCGAGATCAAGGGAGCAGCAGGGTTGGTTTCTTCTGAGGCCTCTCTCCTTAGATTGTTGATGGCTATCTTCTCCCTGTATCTTCACATGGTCTTCCCTCTGTGTGTGTCTGTGCCCTAATCTTCTCTTCTTATAAGAACACCAGTCATATTGGATTAGGGCCACCCACATGACCACATTTTAACTTAATTGCCTCTTTAAAGATCCCATCTCCAAGTACAGTCACATTAAGTACTGGGGGTTAGGACTTCAACAACATATGAACTTGGGGAGGGGGAGACGATTCAGCCCTTAACACATATAATACGGATTTGTTCTTTGTTTTGTTTTGTTTGGCTTTTTATTAAATTTATTTGGGGTAACATTAGTTAATAAAATTATGTAGGTTTCAAGTGCACAGTTCTATAACACATCATCTGCATATTGTATTGTGTGTTCACCACCCAAAGTCAGATCTCCTTTCGTTAACCCCCTTTACCCTTTACTGCCCCCCTAACCACCTCTTTGTCTCTGGTAATTGCCATACTGTTGTGTCTATGTTTGCTTTTTGTTTGTTTCTTTGTCTTGTTTGTTCATTTGCTGCTTTCAGTTTTATATCCCACATATGAGTGAAATCATATGGTTCTTGACTTTTTCCATCTGAGTTATTTTCACTTAGCATGATATTCTCAAGATCTATCCGCGTTGTCGCAAATGGCAGTATTTCCTCTTTTCTTATGGCTGAGAAGTATTCCATTGTATATATGTGCCACATCTTCTTTATTCAATAATCTATCAAAGGACACTTTGGGCCCTAGCCAGTTTGACTCAATGGATAGAGCACTGGCTTGCTGACTGAAGGATCCTGGGTTCGATTCTGGCCAAGGGCACATGCCCAGGTTTCGGGCTCAATCCCCAGTAGGGAGCATGCAGGAGGCAGCCGATCAATGATTCTCTCTCATCACTGATGTTTTTATCTCCCTCTCCCTTCCTCTCTGAAATAATACATTAAAAAATAAAGATTGCTGTTTAAAAAAATAAATAAAAGGACACTTTGGTTGTTTCCATTTCTTGGCTACCATGAATAATGCCACAATGAGGTTTGCTCTTCTTTTTTAAAAATTGCTGAATTATATTCCACTGTATTACTCTACCACAATTTATTTATCCATTCTCTTATCAATCAACACTTTAATTATTTCCAGTTTGGTACTAGTATAAAATTACTGCTATCAACATGTCTTTCAGTGAATATATGTGCTCATTTCCAGTGTGTATATACCCAGGAGTGAAATTGCTTTGTCACAAGATGTAAGTATGTATGGCTTTAGTAGATGCTGCCAAACAGATTCTCCACTCCTCAGTGTCCTTCCCCACCGCACCTACCCTCAGACCTGGACATTCCCACAGAGCATCATTCCCCTGGGTTACAACATTGTCTTTCCTGGTGCCTTCAAACCTCCCAAGACTGTCTAGATCTGAAGGGAACAGGAAGATAACCATGACTTACCCAGATCCTCAAATGCAAGTCTGGCTCCTCAGAACCAGCAGCACAAGGGCCTGTTTGGAAAAACATAAAGCAAATCCTTATCTTAATCCTTAGACTAAAATAAAATCCAGTTGAAGCAAATTTCTAAGTGTAAAAAGAAACCAAAGTATTAGAAGGAAAAACTTGATAAATGTATTTATAATCCTGGAGTGCAAAGTCCTTTCTAAACAAGATAAAAACCCAGAAGCCATAAAAGAAATGATTGATACATACAAGAATCTGAAAATTAAAATGGTTTGAGGGATGAAAAATACCTGCACAGCCAAAGAAACCATCAACAAAACGAAAAGGGAACCCACTGTTTGGGAGAACATATTTGCCAATGATACATTTGATAGGGGATTAATTTCCAAAATATATAAAGAAATTATACAACTCAACATCACAAAGACAAACAATCCAATTTAAAAATGGGCAAAGGACCTAAATATACACTTCTCCAAAGAGGACATACAGATGGCCAATGGACATATGAAAAATTGCTCAAGGTCACTAATTACCAGAGAGATGCAAATTAAAACCACAATGAGATATCACTTCACACCTGCCAGATGGCTACCATAAATAAATCAACAAACAACAAGTACTGGTGAGAATGTGTAGAAAAGGGAACCCCAGTACACTGCTGGTGGGAATGCATTGCTGGTGGTGCAGTCTCTGTGGAAAACAATATGGAGTTTCCTCAAAAAATTAAAAATGGAACTGCCTTTGACCCAGTGATCCCACTTTTAGGAATATAACCTAAGAATCCCAAAACACCCATCAGGAAGAATATATGCACTCCCGTGTTCATAGCAGCGCTATTTACAATCGCCAAGATATGGAAACAGCTACCAAGTGCCCATCCGTAGATGGGTGAATAAAAACAGCTGTGGTATGTTTACACCACGAAATACTATGCTGCTGTAAAAAAAGAAGGATCTCTTACCCTTTGAGACAGCCTGGAGGGACCTGAAGATTATTATGCTAAGCGAAATAAACCAGAGAAAGATAAATACCATATGATGTCACTTATGTGTGGAATCTAGTAAACAAAATGAACTGATAAACAAAATAGAACCAGAGACATGGATACATGGAACAGACTGGCAGCTGTCAGAGGGGAGGGTGGTTGGGGGGACTGGATGAAAGAAGGTGAAGAGATTAGCCAAAGAACATATGTGTATAATGTACAGACACAGATAACAGTGATGGCCAAAGAGAAGGTAGGTGGGGCGGGAGCTGGGTGAAGGTGGGCAAAGGAAGGGTAAAGGGGGCATCTGTAATAGTGTCAACAATAAAAAATAAAAATGTAAAAAAAGATAAACAGCAAACGGGGGTAAAATTTGAAACACATTTGTCAGAGGGCTGATTTCCAAATTCATGGAAAGAACGTTGTACAAATCAGATAGGGCCTAAGTACCCCATAGGAAAAAGGAGGGAAGTATAAAAACAGGAGGTTACAAAAGAAGAAATGCAGATGTCCAATATACATAAGAAAAAATACTTGACGTTAATCATAAGTAAGTAAATGCAAATTAAAATAAAATCTTTTTAAAAATGATTGTACGTCAAGAATGCAAGCATTTCTCAGGAGCCATTTGATGAGAGTTTGGGGGGAAAGGCATGCATGGGCACTGGTAGTGGCTGTGCGTATTGGTGGAGCCCTTCTGGAGGACAACTTGGCAGCACCACCAGATTTTACAACTTATATAGCATTTGATCCAGCAGTTCCACTGTTAGCAAATTAACCTTCATATCAGATAAACTGACAAAAGTGTCCAATACATATGTTTAAGATATTGGTTACAGCGCTGCTTTGTAGAAGCAAAAAACTGGAAGCAAGATGAATTTCAACCAATAAGGAAATGAGCAATAAATCGTAATGTGTCTGTTGTAATGGAATACTCCATGCCTCTAACAAGAAAAGAATTAGGCATGCCTGTATGTGATGATAAAAATAAGTCTCCAAGACATATTAAGAAGAATGCAACTCCCTGAATAATAAGTGAGCCTTTGTATAAATTAAAAACTTGAGAGTATAACAGGAATGTTGTAAGCTACAAATACTCAGAAAACAGTAGCAGTGGCTTAAACAATAAAGATCTTTAATTAATATCTCAGAAACCTGAAAACTGGGAGTCCAGGGTTAGTAACAAAGTCACCAAGAACCTGTCTTTCTGCTCCTCCATCCCCAAGCTGTTTGATCTCTTATTATCACTTTCTGCTACCAGGAGGCTACCTCTGCTTTAGGCACCATATCCACATTAAAGGCAAGAAGAAGGTAGAAGACTTAATGCCAGAGTATGCTCTTCTCACAACTATCTCTTATAATCATTGGCCAGAACTATATCACGTGACCCCCTCCACCGTCCAGTTGCAAGGGTTTCTGGGAAAGTGAGTATCTAGGGGGGGAAAATGGAACATATTACCATGACTGGCTTAGCCAAGCATGATTTGTCTTCAGAGGCTGGGCACATTGCCACTCTATACAAACTCCTCAACCGGGATTATCTGGGTGATAATCCACATTTTATTAGAATAACAACCAGTTATTTTAAGCCTAATTATAAATATTTTAAATGAATAGGTGAATAAGCCATCAAACAACTGGACGTATGGCCATCTGATTGGTTTTATCGAGAGCCAAGGATAGATGATAACCCATATGTTAGTGACTCCAGGTGGGGCAATTTAGAGGCTCTCCCATGAGAGAAGATCAAGCAGCAATTCTCAGAAGAGCACAGGGTCTTCTTTAAGCTCTCAAACCACTCCCACAGGGCTACTGATGGAACCCAAACTTAAGAATAGCCTGATCTTTTCTGAGGACATAAGTTGGACTCGTGTCTCCTCCAGGAGGCTGGGGACTCCTCCCAGGGCCCAGGTAAGTTGCTTGCTTTATTTAAGGTGTTGATTCATTTGAGTTCCACTTAGTCCAAGCTACTAACTAGCGCCCCTGCTGGAGAAAGGAGTGATCTCACAAAAGGCCTGAATCAGAGTAGAACCTGGGTTCTTGCAAAACTCACACTTTCTAGCAAGTCTCTTACCCCTCAGTTTCCACATCTGTTAAACGGGGCAAGTAGATCCATAATGTCAAAGGCCCCTCCCATGGCAGAAGGCAGCAGTTCTAAACAAATTTTCTCCCCCTACCAGGGCCTCTGTGAAATTCACTCTCAGAGATTCCACAGGCCTAATACACCAGGATTCAAACCCCAGCTTTCCCCTTACAAGCTCGATGACCTTGAGCAAATTATTTAACCCCTCTGAATTCACTTACTCATCTAATTAGCAGAAAATGTCATACTTCTCGGGTCAGGAGGCTCACCTGGTTTCCACTCCAGCTCACCCTACACTTCTGGAGTCCCAAGTGGCCTCCATGTTACCAAGCCCAGCGGGCATTCCTTTGTCCTTATCTTACCTCTTTGTAGCATCTGACACTGTCCCTTACATCTTCTCCTCCTGCTCCCCTTTCTCCTCCTCCTCCTCCTCCTCCTCATCCTCCTTCTCCTCCTTCTCTTTCCCTTCTTTGACCCCAACTTCCCTGGTTTTCTCCTCCATCCCAAATCACTGTTTCTCATTCCTCCTTGTGGCCTTTTCTTTTTCTATCACCCTTTAAATGCTAGTGTTTTTAAGCACATAAAAAGATGTTCAACTCCACTCACAATAAAAGGAATGCAAATTAAAACACTGAGATCATTTTTCACCCATCAAATTAACAAAACATGAAGAGTTTGGCAATAGTCTATGGGCAATGGGGTAGGGAAGTAGGCACTCTTGTGCACTGTAAAAGTGTAACTGGTAAAACCCCTTTGGTGGGCAGTTTTCACAATCAAAATGTTAAATGTATAAGAGGATTTAATTTAGAAATTCCATTTATAAGAATTTGTACTAGAGATAAAACTACTAGACATATAGCCAGTGCTCATTCCCTCCTTCTTTACAATAGAACCTGAGCAATGAGCCAAACTAAAAGACATTTCTCAGCCTCCCTTGAGCTAGGGATGGCTGTTTGACACAGGTTTGGCTAATAGGATGTAAGGAAAAAAATTGGAAGACTTACAGAAAATCCCCTTAAAAGAATAACAGACTCAGCCTGGCCGCGGTGCTCAGTGGTTGAGCATCGATCAATGAACCAGGACATGAAGGTTGGATACCTGGTCAGGGCACATGCCCAGGTTGCAGGCTTGATCCCCAGTAGGGGGCATGCAGGAGGCAGCCAATCAATGATTCTCATCATTGATGTTTCTATCTCTCTCTCCCTCTCCCTTCCTCTCTGAAATCAATAAAAATATGTTTTTCAAAAGAATAACAGACTCAGCTGATGATACATCCTTCTCCCCAGTGTTGTCTTGCCTCCTGCCTCCTGCCTCCTGCCTCCTGCCTCCTGCCTCCTGTCTCCAGCCTGGAATGTGGATGTGGTGGCTGGATTTGGAGCAGCCTTCTTGTAACCATAAGAAAAAGGAGACTTTGCCATGATATCATTGAGCCACTAAATTAATGCCAGCATTTGCCTACCCCAGATATTTCAGGACATGAGAAGAAATAAATCTCTATATTGTTTGCATCTCTGTTGTTTGAGCTTTCTCTTATATATAGCCAAAATTAATCCCTACATGATGTTTCTAGATACAAAGATATTTTTGTAGTATTGTTTATATAGCAAAAGCCTGGAAACTTACTGAATACCCACTTGTAAGGAACTGGTTAATTAAATTATGGGACATGCATATGATGGAATACTATGAAACTATAAAAGAATGAAAGAGATTTTTTTCAGTACTAAAAGGAATGGTCACCAAAATATTTAGTTACATTTTAAAAGAAAGATGTAAAAAGATAAATGTGTTAACATTTATATAAAATTGCTTTCTTTATAGGCTTAGACATTTCCAGAATACATAAGAAACTGGTATGCCTCTGAGGATAGGGCCTCGGTAGCTAGGGATGAGGTGTGAGGGAGGACCCGCCATTCACCATACATCCTCTTGTACTGTTTGAACGTCCACCGTGTGCATATTTATCTTCTCAAAAA